ATGTTCAGGAAATTACTAAAGACCTGGCTCTGGAATGTGGCATTTGAGGACTGAACCTATAACCTCCTCCCTGTGGTGAACGGTGATGAACTGTGACTACGAGTATGAGTATGACTATGACTGGATTGACGATTTGGCTTAGGTAATTGTGATGATGATGTTTTATTGTACTTTATTGTACAACTAGCTTGGGGACCCGGCGCTGCCCGGGGTATTTGGGATAGACATTGTGTATCAAGTTTGGTCTTTATCAGTTATTTATATGGCTCGCAGTGGTCTCAGGAAGTTAGTGAAGGTACTGTGAGTCCCATCATCTGTGGTCTATCCTCCTCCAAACAGCACCGGGATGCAGAGTGGGTCAAGGGGGCTCTGTGTGCCAAGTTTGGTCTTGATCGGTCATTAGATGAGGGTTGCAGCAGTCTTTGGTAGGGAGATGGAAGTCCCATCATCCATGGTCTGTCCTCCTCAAAAGTGTACCAGTATGTAGAATGGGCCATGAGGGCTCTGTGTGCCAAGTTTGGTCTTTATTGGTCTTTGTTGGGGGCCACAGTAGTCTGTGGGAATCGAAAGGTTGGAAAGTACTACAAATCCCATCCATTGTCCAGCCTCCCCCAAACCTCAGGGGAACATAAAGGGGATCATGGGGGTTATGTTTGCCAAGTTTGGTCTTGATCAACCATTGGATGAGGATCGCAGCAGTCTCGGCAAGCGAGTGGAGGTACTTCAAGTCCCATCATCCATGGTCCACCCTGCAGTAGGACGTAGAGTGGGTCATGGGAGCTCTGTGTGCCAAGTTTGGTCTTTATCGGTCTTTGTTGGGAACCACAGTGGTCTGTGGGAACCAAATGGTTTGAAAGTACTACAAATCCCATCATCCATTGTCTGTCCACTCCCAAACCGCACCAGGACGTAAAATGCATCATGGGGGTTATGTGTGCAAAGTTTGGTCCAGGTCTGTCGCTCGTGCAAGTCTCTGTGGCCTGTGAAAGTGAGAGCCAATCAGAAAGCTGCCACATACACTTCCGCCCTCCACATACATACATACAAACAAACAAACATTCACTTTTATTATATATATAGATTTTAATATGTATTGACTTTGCACTTTGTTGTATATGATTGTACTTTCATATATGTTGTAAACCGACCCGAGTCCCTCGTTGAGGTGAGAAGGCCGGTATAGAAAACTTCCAAATAAATAAATAAATAAATAATAGTCCTATCCAAACCCAAGTAACGAAGGTGGAGGCATTAGTTTTCATTCAACCCCCGTATTTATTGGTTAAGAAATTGAACAGCGGTCCATCAGTCTTCTGGACTTTCCATTCCAGATTTGAATTATCCAGAAACGGGCAGGATCTTTGGTACGACATAGACGTAGAGTTAAGCTTTCCCAGCTAGTAAATACCCTCCGTTCACTTAACCGCGGGGAGAAGGTAGAAATTAACCAGCTCATTAAGCGAGAGCGGGAGACACACACACAATTAACGGCACACATTCGTAGGCCGCAATTTGGGAGAATTTATTGCTCACTCGAAACGGGGATGACTTATTTTTTATGACAAAGGCTGTAATAAGAAGTGAAAAATGGGAAAAGGAGGCCGCTCGTATGGCAGGAGCGGTAACGAGAATCGGGCATGACAGAATGCTCGGCTGAACTAATTTGACTTCATAATTACAATCATATGGATAACTTTTAATGTCTTCATTGGGGTCATTTATTGCCTGTTTTCTCTCGGGAACGTTTCCATGAAAAAGGTCCTCGCAAGCCGGGCTTTTAAAAACAAACTGAAGGAAGAGCCCGGAGTGGAGCCCAGCCTCAGGAAAGGAAACTCAAGATTCGGAGGATTTAATGCGCTTTTAATGCTAGCCTCCGACTCTTTAAAAATGCACTTGTCTCCTCGTTGGATTGCCAACATCCATTGCCTTGGCTTTTAGTTGTTTCTGTGAATATTTTAGCAGTCGGTGCTTTACAAAAACGTCCCTTTCACTTGCTAGGGCCGCTTCAAAATGCCGTTCAGCAACCTGGTTGTTGTTGTTAGGCGATCCCTCGTTGTCTGAGTAGGATAGTCTACTGGCAGTGGGTACGTAGGTGACTGCGGAGCCCTATTCTTGATCTGTGTTTGCAGTTCAAGTTTGCAGACGACACCACATTGGGAGGGATAGCCAATAGGCCTGTGCGGTTTCGTTCGTTAATTCGTTAATTCGTTATTAATTCGTTATTTTTGGCATTTC